GACAGTGATGGTATCTCAAAACACTGAACGTCCCACTTGTATCTTGCTTCATGAAATCAGGGACTATTTCAAATACATGTCATGTTCTTGATGTTTTTTAACTGGCATTGGATCTATGCTCTCCGTAAATTCTGTTTTCATCCTCCTCAAAGGAGTTTCATAACTCTTCTCTAAAAGTTTCTCCCATATAAAAAACCTCATCTCTGTTCTCCAGTTATTTTTATCCTCTTCCTTTGTAAGAACAAAACTTGCAGCCTCACAGTACTTCCATTCTCTGGGTGATGTAAATGATTTAGGGAACAGTTCACAAACATGTTGAGTACCGAACATGTCCTTAGACACTAAATCAGTAGCGATTTAAGATCCCCCTATGGTTAAAAATTACGAATATATCATTCTGGTTTTTAAAACACAAAGCGTAAATGAAATCCGATTAAATGACACTCCTAAACAGTTTTGTAAAATGGGCCAATGATTAAGGAGGGTTTTATCAACCTTTTGACATTCATCTCTCAAAGACAGTTGTTTATAGGAATTTCTTAAGAATAGTGAGTGGCCATGTTCACTAATTCCAATTGAAATGTAGGGGGTTTAATACTTTCAGTGTGTTCTAGTTCAATGTAACAAGTCAGTCTCTTTAGAGTGACTTTCTACTGCCCGCACCTACACTGTAGATAGACAAATGCTGGAGACTGTGACCATGGTGACTAGGGTTGCTTGGACACACTAGAACCCATAATGCACTGGGCATGGTGCTGCTCACCCGTAATCTCAGCACCTGAGGGAAGTGAAGCAGGAGCACCTCAGGTTCAAGCCCAGCCTGGACAACCTAGTGAGATGCTGTTTCAGAATAAAATAAGGGCTGCAGTTGCAGCTCAGCGTGAAGGAGGCTCTCAGTACATACTTTAACCAGTACTGGAAAAAAAAAAAGTCATAATGCAAAGAATAATTAGCCAGTGCGAAAGAACTGAGTCTTTGGGGGGTACTGGGGATCAAACTCGGGACCTTGAGTTTTCGAGGCAGGCGGCAGCAGGACTGAGCTAAATCCCCAGCCCCAGGAACTGTTTCAAGGTTAGTTTTTCAATCACTGTGGAAGTGGCAGCACTTTTTTTATCAGGGAAAATTTGAATCTTAGTGTCTGTTCCATTTGTGATAAATGCAAAAAGATTGGGAAGGGTAACTGTGACTTCTACAGGGTAATGAATGAAATGGCTTTTTCACTAATGGTTTTTCCACCTGGGACACACCATGGTTCCTGGGGTTTCCACTGTCCCTGTGTGAGGAAGCCTAACTGCATGTGAGACCCCAGCTGTAAGTGTCCTTGTGTGCTTCCCATCTTCTAAGATACTGAAATGGGATCAAATTTCTGTGTTTAGCAACTTATTTTGTTCTCTTTTTTTTATTTTACTTTTTTAAATTCTGGGGTTGAATTTAGGACCTTGCACTTGTGAGGCAGCAGTGGCACCACCGAGCTAAATCCCCATCCCCTGCAACTATTTTACTCTTAACATTCACGAGTGCTTTTAAAACTCAGCTGACTGAGGATGTTCTTTTCAAACAACTCGAATACTATTTTCATTACAAGTTTTAATGAAGCATTACCTACGTTTGTCATCTATAAAGTATGCTTAGTGTATTCCAGTATTCTTTTAGGCTTTTGTTACACATACATTTTTAAAAATCAGCACTTAGCTCATGAAATGACCGTTTATGAAACATAGTGAATTTTCCACATGTACAAATATCCAGACTAAAATGTCCTTACAGATGCATTTCCCTACAAATCAGAAAATCTAACTTTCCAATGAGAGCATTACAAAACCAAATATTGCTTCTAACCAGTTGCTTAGAAATCCAGCAATGATTCATGCGTTTTAGTTAAAATACTTCTTAATAATCCGAAGGTCACTGGCTGCAGCAGGGTGCCAGCCTATAAAGAGCTTTTAAACATGCAGTGGAGAACCCATGGGATTAAACCAAGCTTGTTGGCATATTTTGTTATACAGAGACTACCTCCAAAGGAGATTCATTGTTCTTTTGACTATACTGAATCCCTTTCTTTATTGACTTCAATGTGCCATAAATGAAAAGGGATTTCTTTTTATGGCAAGAAACAAAATGTTCCAATCTCCCTAACATTGCTTGCATTCTAAAATCTGACTCAGACAGAAATCTGTTGTGTTCTAACTCAGGCACTGCAATCCTGGTAATCTTCTTTTTATCTAATGTTTATCTCCCTAAGGTGACACGGAGATACTGCCAAACACAGAAACCTGAACTTGGGCTCCGTGAGGCTGACCAGGCAGCCTGGAGGAGACAGACCTCACTTTGAGATCTGTCCTCCACAGGTGGTACCTGACAGTGGCCCAGCTCTGGAGCCTGGGGAAGGTCTGAGCTGCAATGATCCCAGTCACGTACTGTGCCATGCGGGGCTGTGTGTGTTCTCCATGCCCAGGGACTCGTGTCATTGGAAATTGGAATCAGTTCGAGAGATCTAATAAGGGTTAGATAAACTGCGGGGATTGCTTGCAGTGCAGGTGACTTAAGGACCTCTGACATTATTTATATGTCTATATCGCATGTAAAAATGTGATGGTCTCCACACACTTCCCAAAGAAGGAACAAGAAAGGATCTTTCCTTAAACAGGCCAGAAGCCAATCAACTCAGTATACAGCACCTGTATTTATCTGCTGCCATGAAGGTGAGCCACCTGGCGCTGTGAGTTTCCCAGGTAACTGAATAACTGAAGCTTACTGTTACAGCAGAGTGTATAATTTCAACTCTTTGGTGGCACGATGCTTTTTCTTTTTTTGGTACCGGGGATCAAACTCAGGACCTTGAGCTTGCAAGGCAGATGATGGAACCACTGAGCTAAATCTCCAGCCCAGCAAGATCCTTTTGAGTGTGAGCTCTAAGAAGGAAAGGTCACAGGGGAGACCCCAGGCTCTTAATCAGCTGGGCCCTGTCCCTGGATGTCAGTGGGCTCTTAAGGCCTCCCTGAGGCAGTTTCCTCATCTATGAAATAAGAGGAAATACAAACTGAAGATCATAGACACATGCATAGAAAGCAAGTGCCACCTAAAAACAGCTCATAATTATTAAATATTCACTAAACACCACATATTCCTCAAAAAGTACTTTTTTTGTTTACTTTCCTTGACACGGGAGTAATAACAGTATCAATCGGTAGATGTTAAGACGAGGGAAGGGAATCCCAGTGAGGCAGGATACCACCAGGCAGTCTGCTTGCCTCTGGCTGCCTGAGGGACAGGCTGGTGGCCTTCTGTGGTACAAGGGCCAAGAGCAGGGCCCCCATGCAGCTCTTCCCTGTGGTGTACACTCTAGGACAGCCTTGGCTGCTGAGTTTTCCTTCCTAATATCAAAGCACAGGTGGTAAACAACAAAGTTAACCTTTCCTCTGGGTTTACTTATCTGATTTCCCTTAAGTTTAAGCAAAAGCAAATACAGTGTAATAGATGAGCGGTTTAAGTAATAGTGATGGGACTTTAAAAGTTCTGAAGATTCTACTACAACAGAGAGACCTACCAATAGATTTTGGAAACAGCTTTTCTTTGTGTTCAAATGCACTGTTCTCTGTTTCCTGCCGAGTTGTATGGAAGGCCAGCTATCTCAGGCTTGGTGCTTTCTTCTCCACGTTGCTGTCTTCAGTTCACTCTCTTTTCATCTTTGTGGTACTGGCAGAGTGGCAGTCTACCACCGAGCTACATCTCCAGCCCATTTCATTTTCAGATCACATCGTCTTGCTCAGTTGCCCAGGCTGGGCTTG